AACCTTTCCAATTTCTGAGCTATTAAATCGAAAATGTTGATATTGTTTTATATTTGGCAAAGACGTAAAGTTATTTTTAAAAAAAGAACTAAAATCGTACCAAACCCATCCTTTACCATTTTTATATTGAATTGCTTCATTTCCCTTTGACGAATTGTTCACAATATTTTCAACATCATCAATAATATTCACACGATTATCTCTATAAACTTTTTTAATTTGTCCAAAAAATGAGTCACAAATAAATTTCGTATGACCAGGAAGCATAAAATTAATAACGATTTCCTCATACCAATTTAACGAACATAACCAAGACCAAAACCAAAGCGATAGATTATTTTTATTTTGGCCGCTACAATTATTACAAGTAACACGTAATTTTTTTTTTTTAGGATTTTTTTTTTGAAGAAAATAATAAATCATATTTAGTGTAGTGTTAGCACCTTTTGAAACTCCTTCGGGAAATTCATTTTCACCAATTAGAAAATTTAACTGAAAATTTTGCTCGCCAGTTTTGCAAACACCAAAAATATGTACGGAAAAGGAAGATTTAAAATAAAGTGAACCTACTTGTTGTGGCGAATACGGTATAGAAACATTTTGCGCCCAATCATAACAAATATGCGTAATGTCTAAATTATTTTTACTTTCTTCAATGTTATTATTATAATGTTGTCTTTCAAGATCTGCAGCTTCCTTATGTTTGTTATACTCAACTTGAACTTTATTATATTCGTCGATATCTTTTTTTGCAGCTAATAATTTGGCTTTAAAAGAAGTGCAAATTTCACAAAGATCGCTTGCAGGTGGTTGAAAACGAAGGTTAGGAACCATCTCGTACCATAATTTTTTAAAGGTAGAATAAGAAATTATTTTTTCGGGTTGATCATGTATAAGATAAAAATTTTTTTTATATTTATTATAAACTGAAGTATAAGTTTGACTAGTTGGAAGATAAATAAAAACGCCAGAATCGTCTTGATGTCATAATGGAGAAGGGAGCCCATGAATTGTTCCGTATTGTATTAAAAATTGTTTAATTGTAGATGTTATATTAAAATCTAAAAAAACTCTTGATTCTGTTTTAGATACATGACCAGTATTTCCATGAACACGTTCGGTTAATCCATTTATTTGTAAATGATTTTGTAAAGTAGAAAGTAAGTAATCGTTAATTCCACATAATTTTAAATATGCTGTCTTACAAAGAAGTAAAGAATTATTATAATTATATTTATATATATGTTTTTGTGTTTTATTCTTAGATTTTTCGTCACTCATTTCAAATGACATTAACTGTGATTTTATAAAAAGTTCAAGTTCGTGTTCTTCTAAAGCTTTTAATTCAAAATGTCTTTCAAAAAAACGTTTAAACCCTACTTTTTCAAAACAAGTTCTAAGATCTTTTTGTTTTGGAGTTCGACGGCAAGTACAATTATTAGGATTTTCAAAAAATAATTTTAGATCGTGAATAGTATTAAGAACTAGCTCATTTTCTTCATAATCGTCTAATTCTAATTCAATCAAATTGTAAACAGGCCTTAAAGTATTAACAGTTGATTGTTGAGACATTTTTTTTTAAAAAAAAAA